GACCAATTGTATATGACGCTTTGCCAGTCAAAATATTATTTTAAATGGTATACACTTCAAATCAAATTATCATTTTCGCCAGTTTCTTTAAATGCATTTTATGTAAATTACAATGTTTGTAACCATTTATCATTATGATATTTTTCTTTTCAGAAAGAGTTCCCTAGAGTGTATTTAGAAGACTTCAAACTTTAATAAATTGCCATAGATATAAGTGTTTCAAAAATAAATCAAAATTTCTCAACATATTACATACTTGAACACAAGATGAGTCTTCTATGTATAACATCAGGATATATAAAATTGTTTCGCAGCTGCAATGTGCATTTTATCTACCATTAAAACAATTAATGTTTGTTGTAATGATCTATCATATAAGAATTTTATATACATTCATGAAATGCTTAAGCTTAATTTTAGTGTTAACTTCTCAATTTCATAGCATTTTATCGCAGTGCATGCCTATCTTAGTTACACACATTTGAATTGAAATTTTAAAACATCAGCATATTTTCAGTTACAACTGATTTAATTGACAGTTCTATATGTATTTGTATACAAAATCTCATTGGTCTTTGGGTTATCGGAATGCAGAAGTGCCAGATTTTGTACAATAATTATTGTCTAATTTACTTATGATAATAATAATAATAATAATATAATAATAATAATAATAATAATAATAATAATAATAATAATAATAATAATAATAATGGTAATTGAAACCATTCAATGCAGAAATGCCAGAGATTGTACAATAATTATTGTCGTATGCTTTGTTTTATTGCGCACTGTTTTATTGTATACTAAAAAAAATTAAAGTACATACGATATTGTTTGATAGCAAACATAATATTGTTAATTTGTTCTTTGCACATTAGTTTTCTCAAACATGAAATGATTTTAAACTCGAATGGCAAAATATGAGTACTGTAAATCCTAAATGATTTTATTTAATATCGTGATAGATAATCAAAACAAGTTATCCTAGTCGCACAAAATGCAAACCCTGTGGTTATAGTTCCTATTATTTAAAATAAAATGTATTATTGAGTTGCCAGACGCTTATAGTTGGATAAAATGTAGTAAATGTTTCACATATATCTTAATCATATTTCCAATACAAGCGATATAAAAAAAACATAATGACATTATATATACTCGTATGTATAGAATAACTAGTTCATAACTATTACTTTTATTCAAATCTAAACTACATTAAATGTATTATTTAATTATACTTCAGAATCTTTATTCAATGACGCTTTATTGGCATATATTTTTTTTTATCGAAATGATGTTTTTGACCGGAAGTATAATAGACCACTATATCAAGAAAGGTGAAATTTGCGTCCTGAGGGTGATTTTTGTGACATAAATGGCATACCCTGAACAACAGCAAGCAGGAAATCTGAGTAAAATCATAAGTTTCCACCTTCATAAGTCGTAAGTAAAATGATTACTACGTAATATTAAATGACTGGTCCTGTTTTGGATTTGGAACCGACTGTGAGCACCAATTTCAGATACTCGCCTTACAAAGAAAAAGAAAAACACCATGATTTAAGTATCATGATTTATTTCAGTACATTGAAGTTAGATAACTGCAAAGTTTTATATCGGAATAATTCTTATCAAGTTGCCTTTCTTCTTATCACAAAGTACTGCATAAGTAATCATTTTCTACACGTCTTTATAAATACTTGTACATGAATGTATGACTGTGCAGTTTAACACAGTTTGTAATCATTTGTTAAGTATTTGTTCTTTTTTTCTATCGTAAGTTTTATTTGTTCGTTCAATTTAGAAACTCGCTGTCATATCATAATAGTTTAAAAAAAACAGCCAAATTAACACCAACGTTCATAGTTCTTGCATGTATAGTTCCACTATTAAGTTAAACATATTCATCTCGGATTGGTTTAAGTACTGTGTTATACAAATAATCATAACTTACGTATGTTACATAATAACAAAATTATAAAATGCATTGACATATTGTTTCTGCAAAAGGATTAGAAAATATGATTTAATACAATAAATTGCACCGACCGCCTAAATGTTGTAATATAGTTACATGTTGGAGTTTGAATTGCAAGTACAAAACAGCTGTCATTTTTATTTATTTACTTTTTTTGAAAATGAGGAAGGAACAACCTTAAATGAAAATGAGATAGAAAGGTGTTGGTGGTTTAGATTTCTAACTCTTGGATTTTAATAGTATATTTTTAAAAAAAAAATGTACGTTTATGGGCTTTCTGCAAATTTTCATTTTTTTTCATAAAATATCTACAAAACATTTCAAACTTTTTAACTTGTGTAATTGCTTAGGAACCAACACTTCAGTACGTAGTTTAACACAATAGTCTTTTATAGTAAAGTCGTGTTAAAATAAAATTAGCATTTTTATTAAAAAGATTTTCTTGCTTTAATTTGAAGGTAATAATGAATATGTTATCGTGATGTACAATTTTTAGTCATCACACTAAAATGCCTTTCTAACGACACCAATATCTTTGTCATTCTTGCATCTCTAAATACATTAAAGAAAACCGTATTAAAGTTACATTTAGTATGTTTTGAAAGACGAGTAAAATCTACTAAATCTTTAGTTAGGTTTGTGACAGCAGGTGAGTCTGGGACAAGTAACTTCAAACAGATAAAATGTGAGCTTGATTTCTCCTAGTACGTAATTATAATGCATACATGTACATCAATGCTGGAATCCTGTTTCATCTGTAATTGTCTGTCACTCTAATGGGGACGCCTAAAGAGACTTACACACGCTGTCATATGATAAATGGTCATTCATTGGTAATAATCCAGACTGACTCGTCGTTTAATCCTCACTTTTTTGTGAATTTCATGGCGCAATTCTTATATCATTTCTCTTTATGTATTATTTCAATCTAGGTTTGTTCTGCTTCTAAGTTGATGGATGAGTAAAGGGATAATATCTCTAGAAACTTAAGTCACAGTACGTTTGTTAGTGTGTACGTTTTTTATGTTTCCCATTTCCCTTTATGGCTGACGGGTTGCCTTTAAGGGTCGGGGCATTAGAATGGCTCGATGATCGTAAGAGGCGGCTAAATGGGTTCGAATTACTGGAGTCTATGCAACTCTTAGCTCCAGCAGGTGAGGTGGTTTTGACCCCTTGTGTTACTTTAAGTTTCTAACACAAGGTTAGCTAAAATCATCTTTCCTGTTTCTGCGCCATATGATTAAATCTTACTAAAGTTCAGATCTACTTATTTCTTTTATGTAGATCTGAAGACGACCGAATATGTTTCGCCTTCTTTATAATTCGGATTCCCCGAGAAAGCTATTTTAGCCATGCTATCAAACATAGGCATTAGAAGAAGTATCAAAATGGACATCGCCATGTTTGTTCTCGAAATCATAAACTTTACCTATTCAGTATTGGTTTTCCCAGGGTTAAGATTAGAAACCACATCGCTTTCAAAGTTATGAAAGCTCGCCGATGATTGAATAGTCACCAGAACATAATGTCGTATATGGTTACGCTCAGATCTAGAAGCGGCGCGTTATTTAGAGCTGATTTCAATCTGATTGCCATACTGGTTGGAGAGATAACTCCGACACTAAATCACATATTTTTTGTAATATCTTGATTATCGTCCTGTATATTTTAAATATTGAACCACCTAAATAAAGTTCAGTTCAAAGACTTTACATTACACTACAAAAATTATGTATGAAAATGAAAATTGGTACTTCTTTAGGGTCCTGAATGAGGTATACAAAACATGATCTTTTTACCCCTCAACAGTAGATAAAGTCGACACTTTAATTTTTAAGTAAAAAATGACAGGAAAATCGGCATCATTAATTTATTTTTACATCTTGTATGTTTTATCTATTTTTTGTTGATGTAAAAAAAATAATTCAAAAATCTTTCTCAAGTCAGTGGCCTGTGGTCAATACATTTTTAACTACCTCATTGTAATTTAGTAAAAAGAACGTTTAGAAGCAGTTTTTGACAACGAAAAGTTTCGGTTATTTGAAAAATATTAAAAAGTTTACCAACTTACAAAAAAATCACCACATTCTGTACTGCTCCTATACTACTAGGTGACCATATGCTTTTTTGTTGAAAAACAAAGTTATAAAAATTATGTTTATCAAGTGTCGGGGTTATCTATGCGTTGGAGTTATCTCTCCGACCAGTATGACCTTAATTGTGTTCGTAAGCCGTAAAACCAAACATAAAGGAATGTAAGATCTACCTCTGGGCTTACAGACTTTTTAAAGCGATCATTAGAAATTGTTTAACATAACAAATAAACAGCATTATCGAAGAGGCCCGACACAAACCACAGATGAAACATAAATAACCGTGTCCATATGTAGGCATGCAGGCGAATGCCATATAAGTGTCGGCGTTGCAAAGTGGTTTACGCGTCGGACTACATGGACTAGTTATATAATGATCGCTAGACACAAGTCATTGTTTCCTTGTGTAAGAAACTTAAGTACTGGTTGATCCCACGAACGAATTCGAAAGTTGGTATATAAGTTGCTTATAGCTTCCTACACAATCGAACTAAAATAAATTCTGTATAATCCAAATGCCATATATGTCATATACTTGTTATTCAATACGATCCCATAAATACTGTACATTATTATAAGTGATGTGCAAACATAATATATAGACACGGTTCTTGCCTTTTAGTCAATGGCAATATTCATTGATATTTAACATTTTTGTACTGTTAACAGTTTCACATAGATGGTCAAATCAGCGTTTGTTTGTATTTTGTCGGTTTGTTGTTTTTTTCTTTTGTTGTTGTTGTTGTTGTTTTTTTTTTTGCCAAACTTGCCAGGTACATGAAAGTACGAGTATTGACGCACTGAAAGATCTATATAAAATACAGTTATTATTAATTTTGTAATACTTAAATATCAAAAGAAATTAATGTGTACACGAATACGTCAACTGGAATAGTAGAGGATACCAAAGAAAAACAACAAGCAAAGAGATGGTGAAGTGATAACCCCAATCACGTGATTGAAGCTTCTTAGTTTAATATACTTTAGAGCATCATTATGATACAAAGCTTACAAAAAATAGCTGTATCTAGTACAAAGGACATCATTTTAAAATGTGATGGCATTGATACATTATTTAAAAAATTTAAAAAAATTGACATTTTGGTTATTCTTTTACAATATATATATAAAATACATGTACAAATTCAAGGACTCAAGTGTATTTAAGGAAATTTCAATATTATTGCTCAAATAAGAATCCAATTGGACCAGGAAAAAAGCGTAATTTAAATATAAATTTTTGATTTTCTATAATTGCAGATTGTGATATATTTATTAGCATGCTTCAATTAATAAAATAGTTTTATTTAACTTCACTATTACAATTCTAAAATATCATTCATATTAATTTTTGTCTGTCGAATTGTAGTAATTTAAAAAAAAAATGCCTCAGAAATAAATGCATATGAAAATCAATCATTAAAAGTGCAATAACTAGTGTAAAAGGAAAAACAATAACAATACTTTAATGAGATATATCAATCTATGAATCTCTTATACCTCTTCAGATTTGCTCCCGAGAAAGAATAAATGTGAAAAATTACAAAGGTCAATAACTAAATGTAAAAAATAACAAAGGGCAGAAGCTTAACAAATACGTAAGAGAGCTATGGTTTAAATGAGCTCCCTTTAATGAGCTCAATCCAGCTTTGAAATTTCAAATTTGTATTTCCCATACCTTTTTGGCTATATCCTAGACTAAAATTAAGTAACGTAGGAATAAAAAGGGTATTTACAACACAGAGAACTGTGGTTCGTTAAAACTGCGCTTTCTAAGATGTGACATATCTATCTATTAAGATTCAAGTAAATACATGCGACATTGCTTTATGCCTAATAAGATCTTTCGGTATAAAAACACAAAGGGCAATTATTCAAAATTATACAATAATAAAATATTCTTGTACACTGATTCGTCTATGAGATATGTTTATCTCCTTTATTCCTTTTAGTCATGCACAAAAATAAAGTATAAAGAATGGCAAAGGGCAATAACTCATATATAATTCTTATGAAAGTGATTATTCTGATGCACTGTATTTCTCTTTTTTATGATATATATACATTAATGAAGTTTCATGTTGGTATGTCCAATACCCCGAAAAACGCATTAAATAATTGAAAGAGCAATAACTAATAAAAATGGCAAAAAGAAAAAGAGAAACGATCTTGGTAAATTCATTTCCTCTCATTAACCTGAAACACCACATGGAATTAAATAATGTTTATAACTGAAATAGTTAGCGTTTTATGCCCCGGTTACGAGCAGACAAAGGAAAATCCGGTCAGAAAAAGTAAGGACGGACAACGTCAAATCGGTATCCCTCAGTCGCCGACGAGGGGATACAATCAAACACTATGACTAGTTACATATGAAAAGAAAATTATTTGACAATAATTGGCAATCCTTTCATTTGGCAAAACTTGATCCCGCAGATACAAGGAAAAAACATACACACAAAACATATTTTCAGAAGCGATATATGTTAGTTCTAAAAAGTAAAGTTTGATCAAGTTTTTCCAATAACTACACAATAATATAACCACGCGGACAGTCAACGCATTTGCTCAAGAAATAGTCATCTTTGCAAAAAAAGTTATCAACAGTTTATTTACGAAGATTTTATCCAAATTAGATCAAAACCACTCAAGAAAGTAGAATGTTATTTCAATTATTTCAACTGATGTAATAAATGTGTATGCTAACTAGTGGTTTAACTTTCTTTTTCCTCAATTGCAGAATAAGGTTGTTTTTCGGTATTTGACAATCTGACACTCTTTCTGTTGTACAAACTTGCACGCTTCCATTGCTGGACCTCATTGTGTTTCTTCCGAGCAAAGAATCCACACTGAAAATATACTATATGTGTTTAAAATGTGTTTATGCCTATTACGATTCGTCCACACCTCATATCTGTACGACCCGTAGCTTTAATGAAACTTTGGTAAATAAACTAAATATTAAAGTTTTAAGATACATTATGTTTCAAACAATCGTCTTCGTACACAATGTTTTTTTTTTATTGCAAATGCTATATTTTTAACATGGCAGCAGAGAAAAAGTCCAGCATAGAGCTGATTGACACACACATGCAACGAGACCATTTTCTTTTTGAAAAGATATGTTAGAAATTTTATTTACTATCCCAAATGTTATGGTTTCTATTTACTGTTGATCTACGGTTTATTGTGAGATGTTGAACTATTAATTTGATTTATTTTATGCTTTTCAGTGGATTACTGATTTATCCGTGAAAATTATATTTGATAATTTCACAGTGAAAATTATCAAAATATAATTTCACACTTTTCAATGACGAAACTACTTTTTTAAGATTTTCCCCATGTGATACCTTAATTTTATTTTTGCTGACAATTCTGACAATGTCAGGCTGTGTAAAGAAAAGGCAAAGCTGAAATTGATAAATAACTTAAATGTCAAAAGTAATAAAAAGAAGAAAACTTACTTCTATTCATTCAAATTCCAATCACCAAATTTCGTCTCTAAATTTTTTTGTTTCATTTTTACAGTCTGAAAAATCTATTCCTTCCCCATGCAAAACTGCTCTTGATGACATTTGGGCATATTAAAGTATCCTACGAGCAATAACTGCCGTATGCTTTATGAAAAATTGAAAAGCATTGACAGCCATCACTCGAAAAATAAGTAAAATAACCCAGCGTTCCATGAGCAAGCTTCCAAGTTTGTCATATTCCTAGCTCCTTTTTTGAATGTTTTCACATCTGTCAACACTTATTTTTTGTCTGTTACAATCCTCAAATAAGTTTTCTTTCTTTTAAAAAGGTGTATGACTAACAAATCCAAATTATATCCCTCTGAATCTTACACAATTATTTTCCTCCCATGAAATACACAACTTTAAAAAATGGCTGCCGTTTACATTTTACAAAGCCAGGTCTAATATAAATTCGCAGTAAGTAACAGAAATATGGATGGATGGTTGGACTTTTTCTCCTACAAGAATTGTTTGTTTTTATTATTAAAACAAGCGATCATTCATATTTTTTTAATAAAATGAATAAATATCACCGTCATTTAACGTTGATTGGCGGACTTATTTTTCAGCTCAAGACTTCTTGTTTTTAATGAGAAATTCCGACTAAATGGGGCTCTCAATGGGGAAAACAGATTTTAATATTAACGTTAAAATTATGGAAATTTCGTTTTTACTTGTTTTTAAGCATAAAATAAAAAGAAAATTTGTTTGTTTGTTGTGTAAGATGTAATTTTATTTCATCTCGTGAACTTTAAAAACAGTATTCTCACTCGTGGCTACGCCACTCGTGAGAATACTGTTTTTAAAGCCCACTCGATGAAATAAAATTTCATCTTACACACAAACAAACAAATATCCTCTATTTATTACATACTTTTCGGTGGTTTATAGAAATATATCGGTGAAATAAAAACTGATAATTTCACTGTTTTAAACAGTTAAACAGTGAACCTATCAATTTGATAATTTCAGTGTTTTGAATATTTAAGCCAGTTACGTTGTTTCAGTGAAATACAAGCGTTCACAGTACTGGAAACCAACTTAATGACGTGACGTCGGAAATGACGTCACGTTGTATTATTATTTGGCGCCCTTTTATTTAGTACTAGGTTAAAATGTTATTTTAAACGTTTCTTTGCATATAACAAAAAAGAAAATTTGTTTAGTTTAATGTAAGATCGACATATATTTTACCTTGTGAACACCAAAAGTTCATATTTCACTCGTGGCTGCTCAACTCGTGAAATATACCTTTTGGTGCTCACTCGGTGAAATATATTCCGATCTTACACTGCACTAAACAAATATCCTCTATATCATAATTGAAACAAAACATATTCGAAAATCAAGAAAAGCAATCCAATCTAACGTTTCTTAATTTGTTAGTGTGTGTTTTTTATGAATTTTAAGCCGATTTTGAAATATAATTTGGTTATATTACGGCGGTCAATCCACCTAACCGGTTTTCCTGGATAACTAACCAGTAATTACCAACCGTTTTCCTGGATAACTAATCAGTAATTACCAATGGTTTTTCTTGGTAACTAACCAGTAATTACCAATGGTTTTTCTTGATAACTAACCAGTAATTATCAACGGTTTTTCTGGATAACTCGCCAGTAATAACCAACCATTTTCCTGGATAACAAAACCAGTAATTACCAACCGTTTTCCTGGATAACCTACCAGTAATTACCAACGGTTTTCATTGATAACCTACCAGTAATTACCAACGGTTTTCCTGGATAACTAACCAGTAATTACCAACCGTTTTTCTGGATAACTAGCCAGTAATTTCAAACCGTTTTCCTGGATACTTAACCAGTAATTACCAACCGTTTTCCTGGATAACTAACCAGTAATTAACAACGGTCTTCCTGGATAACTCGTCAATAATTACCAATACCCCCACCACAATTAACCTACCTTCCAAAGAATTATGATGACAATAATAAGCAGAGCCACGGCACCAAGAACGCTTCCTATAATTATCCAAATGTCCACCTCTGATACAACAGATGTAGGTTCGACGACAAATGTCGTCCATTTCTGAAATGCATTGATTTATTGTGTTGTATTAAAGGGACTCCACTGAGGTTTAAAAGCATAAAACATAACATTTGAATTTGAAATTGAGCTGGGACACTTTAAACAGAAATATTTGCAAAGATAGTTAAGAAATACTTTGAAATAAATTAATAATCGTATTTTTATGCCTTTTTTAGCCCGATTTGAGTGAAAAGTGTTTAAACGCTTTTCATTTTGGATAATTCTTTTACAACTTGAATAATTATTCTGGAAAAATGAAGCGCCCGAATGATCTGAAATTTTGCATAAAGATCATGGTCTAAATCGACATCAAATGGTACATTTATCTGGAAAAAATATTTTCAGTCCCACCATGCAAAAATAACCTCAGTGGAGTCCCTTTAAAGCGTAGCATTGATAAATGCATTATATTCAAATATGCAGACACAACAATA